GACCAGGAAAGCGGAACTAGCTAACTAGAGAAGTTAGCATAGCGCAGTTTTAACGAGGTCTTTCCTCTGGAGTCTAAGTTTGTGTGGCAATTTCAACGACAAACAACAATGTAAGGGGCGTTTTATGCTTTTTAATAATGTTGGACTCCTTCTATCATCATAAAACTTTTTAAGTTTACTTTGGGAGATGCAACTGCCACAATTAAGGTCTGTTGGGTGTGGAAGGATCTGTTTTCCTTGTGTTTTGGCTTCGTTTTTTTCTTTCAACGTTAACGTCACCTGTAACAGGCGACTCGAATTATGGAACTTTAAAAAAACAAAACAAAAAAAACCCCATTGTCTTTTAAGTAATTGCGGTTCGTATGACATACCTCTGGTCAGGTATCTGTACCTGTGTACACTTGATATGGCGCATTTAAATGTATCGACGAAAAATAATTATGTAATACGAAGTTATTCTATGCCTGTATATAAATACAAATTGTTAGGTTCATTGTATAATGTTTGTCCTTTGAATCAGTTTAGGTCATCAGATGATTTTCACGTGACGAAAGGTGTCTCATGGTTTGTTTCATTCAACTATAATTTGACCTTAAGGACAGTTTTATGAAATGTGGTATTATCATATGGTATTGCCGTACAAAATACTGTAAAAATAGAAATGTTAATTTGTTTCAATGCATAGTTTTGCTAGTCAGCACGTGCTGACATAATAATTAAGAAATAGAGAGACATGTGATCCATCACAGACAGTGTTGTCAGGCTGACCCAGAAATTATAAAAGGAAACTTAACGCTGCATTGTAGAAGTGCACAAAAATGCAATTATTAGTCTAATACCACATGAATTGAATCATAAAAACCCTTTCATATTACTCATCTATATAATGCAGACATTAGTGAAGGGTCCCTGATACAATACCATTTTGAAGTCCTTTAATAAATTAGCCTTGAAACCCGGAGTATAAAAATCAATATTACTCTACAATGTGGAAAAACTCAATTTTTTTTCCCTTTTTTTTTTTTTTTTTTTTGTCGGTACAACATGATGTCATGTGTTTACTTCCAGCTGGACTTTATCAGAAAGCCACCTGGGTCTTTCTTATCTTAAACAATTCACTCTCAAGCTAAATAAATAAATATTACTGAAGTCAGCAGTACAGAGACATTAATTGTAAAGATTTAGCAACTTTAAAAATAATAATAAATAAATAAAAGGAGAGGTGCTCTGAACACAAAGCAGTAGAAAAGGGAAGGGCGTCACTAGTTTTGAGGCATTTATATCTGGAGAAACAGGTTTGGGTAGAAGAACGAGAAAAGTCCTTCCCTGTAGGAGTCATTGTGTTAGCCACTCTCTGTTGGTGCTGTGGGGAAACAAGAACATGAGTCGGTATGTCTTTAAACCTTGACTAAATGTCTCGTGGCTGTGAATTCATGTGTTGGTGTGTAAACGTCTTGTGTGTCTATCCAATGTGAAGTTTGTAAACCTGAGGGCTGACTGTTAGACTTTAACCAGAGAACAGAAATGCAGCATGTACAAACATCATGAGCATTAGCAGAAAGGTGGAATGCTCCCAAAGCCAAGAGTTTAATTCTGAAGTTTGATTAGTCACGTGAAACAGACCATGAATGTTTTTATTTCTTTTTTTAATTGTTTAATTTTTCTGTGAAGCATTGACTAATAACTATTATTGGCTGTTTGGACATTTAAAATCATACAAAATGGAAGCCATACCCAGTTTTTGGTGAGAAATGTAATCATGTACTTTGGCCTGCACTAATCTGAGATGGACTGAAAGATAATGGAAAAATCTTCTATTGTTAGACTTTGTTTTGGTATTTTTTTTATTTTATTTTTCTAAAAGACTGACATTGAATTTAACTGGCAATAATGAAATAAGACTGACAAACATGATTTCAAATTCAGCAATTGAAACATGAAATGTATCAGTAGTCTTAGCATGGGATTCTGCATATGTGAAGTTGCCATTGTTTTATAGACTTGTTTTATTGTTTTCCTGTCAGGATGGCATAGATCTTTTTACCAGACAATGTCAGGCTTTATTATGCACAGTTTGCAGAAAAAGTGCTTTATAGACAACAGGATAATCAGTTTTAACTGCAGTATTTATAGTAGATGAATTTATATTTTAAGTAAAAGATTTTGAACTGACTTTTTGGGTTGCAGCTGTGATTATACAAATAGGTTTGTTTTATAATTAGATAAAAGTTGGTCAGCGATGTCTGATTGCTCCATAAATGAAAGTTCAAGCTTTGATTGCATTTTTTGAAAGTAAACCAACTCTTTTCAAAATGCAATTTGCAATGACGTGTTCTCTCACAGGAACCTTTTCCTCACTTCTGTCCATTAGGATAAATCAATACTTAGCTCTTCAAAGATATGCTTAATGGCATCTAAGGTTGATATTTTGGTGTTGACATATCCAGCTTGTCTTGAGTGTGTGTGTGTGTGTGTGTGTGTGTGTGTGTGCGTGTGCGCGCATGCATGTGTCTTTCACTGTTACACTCCTAAACCTACTGCAGTCTCCTGCCAAGTTCAATAGTCACTTAGAAAAGGTGGTCGATCCTGTGTGAACCAAATGCCCTCCTGTCAGGAAAAAGAAAGCAAAAGAGCAGAGTCCTCAAAATGAAACCGTCTAATCCGTCTGCCAAGTAGACTATCAATTCTCTGTGGTGTTTGTCTGTTATTTCAGGAGGTTACATTCCTGTATGGTTAAAAAGGGAACTTAAAGTTCAGAGGTTATTTGCAAAACAGGAAAAAGACATTTGATCCCTGAAGGAAAGGAAGACACCAGGAGAGGTGATGAACAAAAAGAAAGCAGTGTTTCCTGAAAGTTGGTTGTTGTTGGTAAGATTGTACTTTGACCATTGCTATTATGTCAGTGCTGCTGTCATTTTTTTCTTTTATCCTATATGGCATGGTGCACAAAAGCAGTCAGGATTGGGTGAATTGTTAACTCTTAATTGGCAATAAGTTTGAATAAGAATGTGAATGGTTGTCTTTATATTGGCCTGTGATGGACTCCCCAAAGGATGTACTTGCTGACTTCTATGACTGAGTGGTTAATCTTAAGAAATACATTTGCTCACAGCATGTCCATTGACACGTAAAGCAAGTTATGAAGAAATTGTGTTTTATTGTCTGGACTATTTAAGTACATCTGTAAAATAGTAGGTCACAACTTTAATTAAATCATAAATTCCTAGGTGATTTTGATATTTAAAAGTACACTCGTTACAAAGTAGCAGGGCTAAGGTGATTAGTCAAGTTATCACTGACCAATTGGAAATCAGTGTGTTAACCACTAGTTTTGATAGTCTTGGAGGACATTTTTATGTTCAGGACACTCCAATTGACCTTACATAATTTCCATAATTAATTGACCAAATATGAAAAATCAACCATGAAAATGTTAATTTGTTGCTGCCCTACATTTTTGTGAATTTTTCTTTAATCCAACATGAAAAGTTGTCTCACTCATTACACATGACTGCAACCAGATTGTTGTGTGATTGCACTGTCAATGGTCAAGGTCTACATTTTCATTTATTTAAATAGATTAAAATAACAAATGAAGATCAAGAAGATAAGAGGAACCTCAACATGTTAGCCAACTCTTACCACATGTTTGATTGATTGTTTGGTGGGTATTACCTTGTCTTTCATTTGTGCTTCCAAAAGAAAAATCTGAAAGCTTGTTTTAGTCCTGTTTCTATATCTACATGGCACATTTTTCTTCTTTAGTGTCTACAGTTACTTTAAAAGCTTTTAGCATTGAAACACAACTCACTTCCTTCTGATGGTTTTGTAGTTAGGGCTTCTTAGAAGTTATACATCTCACCCTGTGACGGTTCTTCTGCTTTATGTGTTATGCAGCGTCATCAAATAGAAAGTGTTGGACTGAGCAAAAAATACTGACACAGCTTAGTTTGGCTTGATGTCTTTGGAGAAACCAAAGATCCACATATCTTTTTATTACATAAGTAGTATATTGAGTGTACTTTGGTCTTTCTTATACTGTAATGTTTGGTGTAGAGTTGGTAACTAACGCTTATTATTCTTCTTAAGTATCTTTCAACATGCCTCGTGCCAGTTAAGTAGGTGTAGTGTATCTTTCCTGCTTTAGGATGGTTCTTCCATAAGGATAGCGGCAGACTCCATTATTATTTATCTTTGTTAACACTATAAGGATGATCCCACAACATTTAACAGTAACTTTAATCCTGAACTCGCCTTTCTTTTGCTTCACAAATGGAAGAATAGAAATTGTTGATCAATATATTTTCACAAGCTCTTAATATTTAGCGTTCTGTTGCAGATGCAACCAGAAAATACTCACAAATAAAGTAAATTTTTGTTAAAGTTAATTAACAAATTGTATACCTTTTCTTAGTAGCTGTCAATTGATTCAATAATTTATCATTCAGTGATGTATGGACTTATTGTTGCAGCAATGTTGCTGGACAGTTTGATTTCTCTTGCTTAAAACTCTGTTTCCTTTGTAATGGTCCAGAGTTTTATCATAATGTGGATAATGACCAAATGAAGACAAATATTTAGCATCTTAATGACAGTCGACTGTGTTTATTTTGGACATTCTTTGTCACCAGCTACATAATGTAGCTACATAAAATATGGAAAAAATATTAGTACAGTATAAGAACATATTTGTTGGTTCTTCTTTGGAAGTTAACTATTTACACCTACTTAAAGACGTATGTTGTGTGTTTGATGGTTAGTTTAAAATGTGGTTTCTGGTACTCAAACTTTCCAGAGCAGCCCACTGTTCTAGGTTTTGTTGTGTAAATTCCTTCCCCTCAATGTAAAAGAAATAATCGTGATCTGGATTCTGGCATCAACGCACCAGAGATTCTGCCACAGGATGTTTATGCATGTGGTTGAATGCAGCCAGTGTGTCCTTTGATGTTCTTCCAATACAGGATATCAAAGGAAGTAGAGGTTCAATGTTTGACAGAGGAGGAAGAAAGAGGTTCAATACAGGAGATAGAATCTAGAGAGTCATCTGGAGAGGAACAGTTAGTGGAAGGAAGTAGACTTTTGACAGAGACATATCTAATCCAAAGATTGTAGCTCCATTCAGGAAGAGAAACATGACATTATCAAAAGATGGCAGTAAGGCTGCAGGAATCTGCCAACTGCCTTAAATACTCTGATAAGAAGATGATGGGCCCTCCTACCAAATAGAAAAATACAAAATGACTCAAACTATGAATTAAAGCTAAACTAGGTAATTACTTGATCAGGACATGTACCACAGTCAACTTTGTTACTACCTTGTGTGCCATTTATTAGTCACATATGGTAATAATAGCATCCACTGTTCACAATGCTGTGACTCATAAAAGAGAAAAGCCATAAAGTCAGGGAAAAGAAACTCACAATGATGGTGCCAAGAAGCATCACTTTGAAAATACTTTCAAGGACAAACATCTGCTTCAGTTACGTGTGTTTGTTCGTTCTTTAAGAGCAGGCTTTTTTTTAGGAAACTCCATTGCCTTGTGTCGTGGAGCCTCCAGGGAAGACCATTTGCATGAATATTGATGGAATATATGGAATCTTGAAAGTGATGCTTATGCTATTGGCTGAAAATAGTAAAATACTTGTGTACGTATCTGTGAACCTCTTCAGTCTTATTTTGGTTTCTTGTGCCATGATCATACTGTATTTTCTGAACACATTTCTGGTGGATTTGTGTTTTTTATCGCCAATAATGTTGTTTTGATTTCTGCTTTCCTCTACAAAAAAAAAGCTCTACATTTTAGATCACAACTTAATAAATGTACCTCACTCTTTACGCCCCTCTATTTAAACCAACCAATTCAATGAATTCAATGGATGGAGTCTAAAAGGTGTCACACAGTGTGACATTACACGCTAAAACTATATTTTTTGTTTTTATAACCTTTAAAGAGAATTTTGAGCATCTTTTCTTTGGCAGGATATATTAGATGTTTTTTTTGGCTTTAATATCTTTCTATTTTGTTTAAGAAAATACTACAATTTAAAATTCTATTCATATGCCACTGCCAATTTTTGCATGAACATACAAATGGTGCTGTAACACAAGTGACAACTCAGTGACTCAAGTGATTGTTTTGTTTGTCTTTAAAAGTACAAGTCATGGGAAGTACAGCAACACTGGAGCGCAGACTTGTAAATATCTTGTTTGTTTAGGCCGCAGAGCTCCACACTAAAGGTTAATGTGATGTCACAACGTAACCTCTGACCTGTGCCTCTTTTTTTCAGGCCACAAAATATCGAGCTCGGCGCCACAGGAGGAGCCTCCATAGCAACCAGCAGCAACATGGACGACATGACAGTGGAACAGATGACCATTAGGGCCAACCAAGTGACCGATGAGGTACAAACCCATCCTTCTGTTTCTCAAACTCATGTTGGAGTTTCCCATTTCTGGGGTAAATACGGCAATATTCAAAAGTTTTAGGTACTTTTAATTCCCCCACCCCTTCTTCCCATGCATAAAGATACAGAAGCCCCACATTTTCTCAACACCATTATCCATTTTTCATCCAACTTGGGCCAATTGAGGCACTTTATTAAAGGATTTTAAATTATAAATATTTAGTGTTTAGCCCTGTCCCTGGAAACTGTCACAGATGCCTGTGACTGGGAGACAAGTCCTCTGCCCTGGCTGAACAGTGTGAGCGGCCTGGCTGGTCTACAGACCATCCTTTTTTTTTCTTTTGCATTTTAATGATTTTGAGAATGAGCTTATCATTATCAGTATTTACTTCAAGTGCCCCTTAAAGGAATACACTGAAGAAAATAGTGCATAGTACTATATACTGTATCCACAGCCACACTACTATATATTCCCTGTGTAATTACGACTCAAAATTGTTTGCTATACAACATGAAAAGCCAGTTTGAAACAAAAAGTGTTTTAACCTTGATTCGTGGATCAATTGCACTGTTTTGTTGCTACAGGTGGTGTTTCTTCTTTTTTTTTAACAAGAGACTAAAACAATTATAATTTTTCTTCTTTGGATATTAGTCTTTCAACACCTGCAAAGAATAACAACAGATGTTCTTTTAAACACTCTGGAAGTTTTCAGGGAATTAAATTCTGGAGCCTTTAAAAAAAAAAAAAGAAAAGTACATTAAAGTGGATAACTCCTTCTACAATCAGAGGAGCTCATTATACATGCAAAGCAGTTGGGTTCATATTTAAATGGAGTGAACACGGCTACAAATGAAAAATGTAAATTACTTAAAGTACTGCTTGACATTTGAAAGAATTAGTGGTCTCCACAGAAATGGGGGAACAAGTCTGTCTTTTAAAGGTTATAGACAGTTGGCATGAAAGCATCCAGACACACTGCTGTAACTTTATATTTGACATAAAAACACAGGGCTCTGTATTTTACAGAACAACTCAGACCTGCAATTTTTCAGATGTCATTTAATTAATTTTATTATGTTTTTAATATCAGGGTGTTTGCAAAATCAGAGGTACATGGGTTTAAATGATCCTCTGAGTTTCATCTTCACTGACTTGATTCATTGTAATTATTTATTATTTAACTATACCATGATGACTCGGATGATAAAGGCTAAGCAGTAAAAAAAAAAGAGTTTTATTGCCATGGCTTTGAGCAGTTTTTCACTTGAGTAGTGAATAATATTTCTTTTCAATTTACAGCTCTGGGTCTAATTTTAGATCTAACATTACAGGGGAGGATGTGGATTCGCAAACATTTAACCTTGTCATCCCACCCTTTCACAATCTCTACAGTATAATGTTTTAGATAATTAACAGTGTTTTTAATCATAGAATTAATTGTTTAATTAAGACTCTAGGGTATTGTAGGATCAGCCATGTGAGTGGAATGGACTCAAATTAACCTGCTCTTTCTGCGCTTGTTGCTCTACACTTCACCTTCCTGTAATTTCTCTGTGGGAATTTTCTTATTTACTCCTCTTTCTTCTTCTTTAAGTGTGCTTTAACACTTAACCTGCAACTGTCTTCCCTCGCTGCTGCCTGTTTGATGAAGGAGATCATAAATGGAACAAGACAAGGGAGGACCCTTCTGCTAATGCTGCTTTATACTCTGGCTTTGGGTAAACACTAACACCTGACCTTAAATACTTGTCTATTATGATTGGCAATGTACCAGGAATACAACAGAATAGATTTTATTATCAACAGCACAACAAAAAGATAGCTAGTTTCCATCTAGTTTCCAGATTATTATATCAAAATAATTATAAGGCCATTGCATTTTATTGCCACATAATTATCCTGGTACATCGCTACTTCCATTTAAGCTGTAGTGTAGTTAAATTCCTTATGAATCACTAAAACTGCCATGTCATTATCAGTTGTTCAAACATTTGTAAAAGCATCAAACTTTTGGCCAAGTCAGCAGTAACAAGGATCGAAGGACAAACAGTGACTTCCTACAGTCAGGAAGGCCGTAGTGTAGTGTGAGTGTAGTGTCATGCGACCCTGGGGTCAGTTTATCACTCAACTGTTTGACAGTTTTTGTTTTAATACTACAGGAAAAATAATTATACATGTTCCTAAAGTTTACCAGATCAATGTTGTTATATTAGTTATGTTTAAAATTGGCAAATGCAGAGTTTGTCCACCTGGTGTCTCTCTCTTTAATAATTCACCAGGGATAAAAACAGTGACGTCTTGTCCTGTTTTGTTTGCGGGATTTGCTTCTTCTGAGGTTCTGCATAGAGATTGCCATCTATTATTAGAGACTGAGAGTCGTAGCTCACCTGATTGACTGCATTCCAGTTAGCCATCAACATTTGTTGTCTGTGTTTTAGATTGCATTGCAAGCATTTGTCCCCAGCCATGTCATGTCATGTCATCTGATCACAGTGCTCACACACGGCACAGGTGACACTATTCTAAGATGGAACACTAAACAGCTAACTTGGATAACTGTCCATAACGTTTCTCTGTTAAATATTATCAAGTTTTGTTACAGTCAGTCTACAGACAGTGTTGCTCTTCTAGTGAGTCAAAAATGACTAATGCCAGCTATTCATAATGAAATCTCCACTGTCACACGGTCTTTTTCTTCAGTTTGAAACTGGTTTAACAAACTGATTGCAGTCTTTTCTCATACTCTTTTCTTAATTAATAAGGCTCAGCTTCCTGTTTTCTTATCTTTATGTTCTTATCCCACACATCTTTCCAATTTTCTTTCCCTCCTTATCTTGCTCCTTTCCTTTCTGTCTCCTTTATAGTCTCTTGAGGCCGTTTTCACACCAATCAATTCCTTTGTTTGAATCGAGGAGAAATTCCAAACGCATCCAAACAGAAGCCAAATAGATAAAAATCTTTATGTGGGTTTAATGACAAGAGTCCTCTTTCCAGAACTAAGCCATGTGAGCTTTGCCAACTCTTAGGAAAATGCTGCCTTAAATGAAAGAGAACATTAAATATGACTGTGTCAAAACCTTTTCACTGGATTCTGTGAAGCTGTCTCTATAAATGACTCTATTTTAATGTTATGTCAAATAGCTTCCAATTGAAACGTGAACTAGAGAAACTTAATGTCTGGCTGCATTTAATGGAGTCCATTGGTTGTTTTTTTGTTCTTATTCTCATATAGGCTACAATATAAAGGTGGCTTTTTCATGTTTCTTAAAATTTGCTTTAAGGTGTATTATTTTTTTTATCTCTCCACAGTCACTGGAAAGCACGCGGAGGATGCTGCAGATGGCAGAAGAGGTGAGAGCTTTGATGGCCAGAAGTTGTTGGTTGTTGTTGTTGGTTTTTCACCTGCTAAGGGTAGGATCGTGAAAAAAAGACTATTATATATTTTACATTTGAGACCTAAATATTACAAAACCTTTTTTGTTATTTTGCTTAAATGTATTTAATATGTAAGATAAATACATATTCAGAATATCCATATTGCTAATATTTCTGATTACTATTTTTGTGTTCTTTTCATCAAGAAATTGATCTGATTCAGTTTTTCAAATCTGAATATAGATCCATGACATGGTAGTTTGTTTGTCAAGGTTCTAAATTAGCACTTTGTTTTGTTTTTTAGAGCAAACAGACTGGTGTCAACACCATGGTGATGTTGGACCAACAAGGAGGTAAATATACAACAACGGGGGGAAGAAATCCATATTTTACTACACTTTTTTTTAAAGAATAGTGCAATGTATTTTTTCAAGGTATTCAATTTATGACGAGATTAAAATAATAATTCAGTTAATATTTTTGCTAATATTTCATTATGTAGTGAAGCTAGCAAAACTGATGTAGCCTTAAATTCCTCGCTGTTCACACTCTGCACTCTGTCGCCCAGTTCAGCATTACTCTACGACTGCACCCCATTGTCATTGTCTTCAACCTGTTAATTCAATACTTTTTTGGTTTGTTTTGAGTCTGTTTAATAAATATGTTTTTTAATTTAAAAAACATTTACCCAGGTTTCTCTAAAATGCTCCTGCTCCCCTCATGTGCTTTAACTAAACATTTATTGTTAATGCAAAGCTTTTTTTTTAAATTTGTAACTGAATTACACCAATTATAAAACAGCACAAAGCTTTTCTAAATTGATTTAAGTGCCATCTGAAATGTTTGTGTATTTTTTGTACGAGGAGGAACCTTATTTATGTTTTATTTTCTAGTTGTATCCCTGCATGTGTTCTCTGTTAAAAACATGCATTTCTAATTGTTTGTTTTCTACCTTGAGGCAATATTATATCTGTATCCATTTCCTGGCTGTTGCAGTGGCCCACTTAATGACCTAATTTAGGAATCCTCAGTGGGGTTAATAAATGACTAATGTAACAATTAATTTAACGTACTTGGGAATAAATAAAGTTTAAATCCAAAACATTTATGACAAATGCTCATGTGAAAACATTTATTTATAAATGCAAAATTAGGATTCTGCTAACGTCCCATTCCTGTTGTCGTGTTCCAGAGCAGCTGAGTCGTGTGGAGGATGGCATGGAGCAGATCAACCAGGACATGAGACAGGCGGAGAGGAACCTGACTGATCTCTCCAAGTGCTGCGGCCTCTGTGTCTGCCCTTGTAACAGGTAGGTCGTACACTCTGGGTTGCTGAACGCTCCACATCACAGCTGTGGACAGACACACACTCACACCACTGTTCCTGACACCCGCTCCTTTGTGTGTGAGTTGTTGATTTTTTTATTTTTCCTTTTAGTCTAGACCTCGTATATCCCAATTCTTACATTTGTCTACCCTAACAAATGGGTCTACTACCTAACAAAATAAGAACCAACAATTATGTAAACTCTTAACACACTGAGTGAATAACAGGTCAGTGAGGACATACAGCTTGTATGTGTCGACATATTAACATCCAAGTAATGTTAAAGTAACAAACCTCACTCCAAACCACAGACAAACATCCAAATTTAAATTCTTCTTCTTAAAATCTGTGCTTTGCCACCACCTAATATCTCTCCGATTTCATAAGCATAATTCTTCACAGGTTTGTCGTGGCTGCTGATGTTGAAAGGTGTTGTGTTTACAGCAATCTAGTGTGTAATACTCTGTGTGCTGTAGTTTTCCCAGTATCTGGGAGGGCACTGTGTTCCTGCGTGGAGCAGTGCTAAAGATGGCATTTTGAAATAGCATGTAACAAAGACAAGTTGTCAAACAAGCAGCCCGCCCTCATCCCTCCTCTGTTATTATGAGCTAGAACACTTACATTAGGCAACTCCGATCCACCAGATGCTTTCACATTACCACGGCATTAGCTGCTGCCACCTGTGGCTGCTAATAGCAGGGTGTGACAGGGAGGTGGAATAAATATCCATTTTCATGTCAAATGTTTATTTGGTTGCTCACTGATACAGTGAACATTTGCAGTTATTCATAGAAATATTTCTTCAGATGTGCTTAATACGACTGGTGAAACACTTCCATTCAAAGTACTCCTAAAACATAATTATAATAATTTGCTGTGTCAGTGTAGTTGCATGTTATTTCCGTGTCTGGTTGTTAATAAAATAATAATAACAATAATAAAAATAAATCTTTTTAAATGCTGTCACATTGGAGGGGAGGATTCTTTGACGAATATCAAAAAATAAGGTAGGGATTTTATATTGTTATGTTTTTTGTTGTGATGAATATACATGGTTCAGTAGGTTAGGTGGTTTGTTGTTTACTAAATTTTAGAACAGGTTCTCTACAAATCTGTACAAACATTCATCATAATTGCCTTTTTTCACTTCTGGTTGTGTCTCTTATACTGAAGTGTTTCAAACTTGGTAAGGAGAAGTTTTTCTGGGGCTGGAACTAAAGTACAGGATTCTCACAGATTCTGTGAAACCGTACCGGAAAATCAGGGAGAACAAGTCTAATGTCCTGGAAATGTTTACATTAGCCTGGAAAATTAATTCCCCTGCTTTGCCCTTAAAAGTTATTTCTAATCACATGAAGTTTCGCCCAATCAAATTGTCAAGTCATGTCAGATAATTTCTTCACTTTCTAACTTGCATTTAAACTAGATTTAGCAAATTTTAGACCTCAGTAAGGAGATCTCAGTTTAATTCAAGTTGAAGGATGGTTTTAGTATTGGTCAGTGACATAAGCACTTTTTTCTCTTCCCTCACCCGAACTTAAAAGTAGATATTATCTGGATAAATGTACAATAAAGGGAAAAGTTCAGAAAATAAATTTGAACTTGTCTGCGGCTGTAGCTGAAAATGTCCTGGAAATATAAGATAATGGGAGTGGGAATCCTGGAAGGATTTCTTTTTTTTTTTTTTCTTTTAGATTTTTTTTACTCCTTTTCTTCTACCGCACATTTTTTCTTGCTCAGAAGTGTCTTTTGTGTCATTTAGAAGTGGTTTCTAGTGAGTGGGGTGTTTCCTATGTGTAGGCAATGACATTTATTACTAACAAAAATCAGTACTAGAATAAAATAACCTTTTGTAAACACGGTGTCTTAAACTCCAGGTCCAGAAGCCACATTTAACCTATGACAAGATGTTAATAATGACGTGATTTTGTCCTTAAAATCATGTAAATAATATATAGTTTTTAATTATGTTTAGTTGTTCCATTTAGAATGATAAAACATGTACTCACTGTTTGCATTGTAGGATTATACAGTATTTATATTAAACAAAAATTACTTTATAAATATGTGTGTGTGTGTGTGTATATATATATATATAAAAATGTGAACGTGTGATTATAAATGTCTATACTAAATGTTTTATTTTTTGTTGTTCTCTCCAGAGTGTCATCAATTGAGCATGACTCCCGATACAAGCGTACTTGGGGTATTGGAGGAGGAGACGGTGAAATTGATGCCAATGGAGCCAAAGTTGTCATAAAGCAACCCTCGGGGGTTCGCAATGGTCAGCCGGGGCAGATGAACGCCCCTGCACCGTCCGGACCTTACATCAAGAGGTGGGCTCCTGCTCCTTTTGCCCTCTGTATTCTTATCACATAGACCTTCCCTGTAACCTTTATAGCTACATTTGGATGCTGTTGAATGTTTTTTTAACTTCCATCCTTTACTGTTCACTGTCTGTGATGCAGGGTAACAAACGACGCGCGAGAGGACGAGATGGAGGATAATCTGCAGACAGTGGGAGATATCGTCAGTAACCTGAAAAATATGGCTGTGGACATGGGCAGTGAGATTGACAAACAAAACAAACAGATTGACCGCATTACTGACAAGGTACGCAATTAATTCAACTATAATAACTATTTAATTAGCTTAAATTATCCCATGTAATCAAAAGTCACATTAAACCCACTGTTGCTGTCTATTTAAAAGAAAAATCTTCCACATGTGCAGAGTACGTGTTATTTATCATGACATCATGTGACCCCACGTTACACAAGCGCGCAGTCCACCTTCTGCCAAAGGTTTTCTCGCAGTTGTCTCCGGCTGCTGGTTAAAGGCGATGACCCAGAAGGAAAGAGAACTGCGAGCAAGCAAACATGAAAATAAACAATGCAAGATTGTAACATAGTTTCTAAAAGCAGCCGCACAAGTGCTTTATAAAGAGGGAAATTAATGCATAACGTCTGAGCCTCAAGGGTACAACACACACCGCTTAACAGTGGGGGGAAAAAAAGATGGAATGTATTTACATTTCTCAACATGCACAAAAACACCTCTCTAAATGCTGCCTTTGACATATTTGGGTATGAGGTTATTGGGTTTATTTGGTACGTGTACACAGTGGAGTTGAGTAAAAGGATTTACATTTCTACAAAAACGCGGTTAAGCTTTACGTTGAGCTGTTAAAGGTCAAAGTCAAAGATGTATTCATCGCCTCTGCATGTGTGTGTGTATATATATATATATATATATATATAAAATGTGAACGTGTGATTATAAATGTCTATACTAAATGTTTTATTTTTTGTTGTTCTCTCCAGAGTGTCATCAATCGAACATGACTCCCGATACAAGCGTACTTGGGGTATTGGAGGAGGAGACGGTGAAATTGATGCCAATGGAGCCAAAGTTGTCATAAAGCAACCCTCGGGGGTTCGCAATGGTCAGCCGGGGCAGATGAACGCCCCTGCACCGTCCGGACCTTACATCAAGAGGTGGGCTCCTGCTCCTTTTGCCCTCTGTATTCTTATCACATAGACCTTCCCTGTAACCTTTATAGCTACATTTGGATGCTGTTGAATGTTTTTTTAACTTCCATCCTTTACTGTTCACTGTCTGTGATGCAGGGTAACAAACGACGCGCGAGAGGACGAGATGGAGGATAATCTGCAGACAGTGGGAGATATCGTCAGTAACCTGAAAAATATGGCTGTGGACATGGGCAGTGAGATTGACAAACAAAACAAACAGATTGACCGCATTACTGACAAGGTACGCAATTAATTCAACTATAATAACTATTTAATTAGCTTAAATTATCCCATGTAATCAAAAGTCACATTAAACCCACTGTTGCTGTCTATTTAAAAGAAAAATCTTCCACATGTGCAGAGTACGTGTTATTTATCATGACATCATGTGACCCCACGTTACACAAGCGCGCAGTCCACCTTCTGCCAAAGGTTTTCTCGCAGTTGTCTCCGGCTGCTGGTTAAAGGCGATGACCCAGAAGGAAAGAGAACTGCGAGCAAGCAAACATGAAAATAAACAATGCAAGATTGTAACATAGTTTCTAAAAGCAGCCGCACAAGTGCTTTATAAAGAGGGAAATTAATGCATAACGTCTGAGCCTCAAGGGTACAACACACACCGCTTAACAGTGGGGGGAAAAAAAGATGGAATGTATTTACATTTCTCAACATGCACAAAAACACCTCTCTAAATGCTGCCTTTGACATATTTGGGTATGAGGTTATTGGGTTTATTTGGTACGTGTACACAGTGGAGTTGAGTAAAAGGATTTACATTTCTACAAAAACGCGGTTAAGCTTTACGTTGAGCTGTTAAAGGTCAAAGTCAAAGATGTATTCATCGCCTCTGCAGGGAAATGAGTCCATCATAAAGAAACGCACATTAAACGGACGGGAACTCAGGAATACAAATACGACAAATACAAGACGCAGTATAGTACAGTACAGTGCAGTCTGTGGATGCATCACATGAAATGCAGTACTTGAGGATATTTTCATGATACGTGAGTCATTCCAAAAGACGTTGTTTCTGAACAACCTGAGGTAAGAAACTTCACCTCAGAACAGAGCCCGTGATCAGGGTTAAAGAGAATAAAATGCCCTGTTAGAGTCTTCTTCACTGGTTATTATAATAAATGGACAAGGTTATGTGGTGTCTGGGGCCCTGGAACTGTTATGTAAGGCATTCACTGTCTTTTTAGACAGTTGCATAAATATTTGTGTAGGTGTCTTTTTTGTAATTCATTGCTCTACATTTATCTAAAGAAAACAGTTTAATTTACCCTCACTGTGTGTGGACCAATAAAAACAGTCCAGTGACTCGGGGCAGGGTTAAATTACTAAAGGCACATTTGTTAATTGCACACAGAAATAAAAACCTTTGTGTTTAAAACTAATTAGCGTTAAATGGTAATTATCACAATCACTTAGCAGCTTGACGCAAAATACATTTCTCCAAACTCTGCCCCAAATATTCTTGTACACCTGTCGAACTGAAGCCACGTCACATGACTGACACATTCAAGGCTTCTAGAGCTGTTAGTGAATTAACACACCACACATTTAGTCTGTCTGTGTGTGTTTGTTTGTCTGTCTGTGTGTGTTTGTCTGTCTGTGTGTTTGTCTGTCTGTGTGTCTGTCTGTGTGTGTGGGTGTGTGTGTGTGTGTGTGTGTTTGTCATTGCTGTTCGTTTCCCGTCTCACCTCATCTCACTGTTTCTCCTTCAGGCTGATATGAACAAGGTTCGTATCGACGAGGCAAACCAGAGAGCCAACAAACTCCTCAAGTGAGAGCAGGATGGACATCATCACGTCCACTCGGAGTCCACGTGGACACACACATACAGTACTCTCAAACACACACACACACACACACGAAAGACACAGCAGTGTGTCTGCCTTCACTTCACTAATGAAGTCAACAAATTACACACACACACACACGTGTACATTCTAAAAATTCCCATTCTACCATCCCATAATGTCAACCTGTGTATTCATAAATATGCTGTAGCAGCGTGGCTGAGTGACAGCCCATCACTGACACTTTTAATCACGACCTGCTCTGTTGTATCACAGCACACCACCCACAGGTGTGGAGGTGAAGTGCATGTCAGTTACTCTCTTCACCTAATTATTCGCTGTTTACTTCAGGTCTGAAGATACAAACTGTCTTTGTCTGGGTGGGTGGGTTTGTTTCTGTATGTGTGTGTGTGTGCGTACGTGTGTGCGTGATAGGACAAAGCCAGTGATTCATGGTCATTATCTCTGTGTTTAATTTATGTATGTTCATTGTGTTTGAGCTGCGTCTGCTCCTCATTATCCTCCAGCTTCACTCACTGCCTTTTTCCTCTCATATCCTGTCAGTTTATCCTGTAATTAAGTTTATTGTAATATTTTCAGATTATATGCTTATTTAATTATTCTTTTTTGGGCAGGATGGCTTGTGAATAAAGTGTGTGTTTAATACTTTCTTCCCAATGTCAGTTTTGCCTTTTTAGGCAAGCTGTTTTCAAAAAACATAATAATAAAAAAAATAGTTAGTGTTTATATTTTTACATGCGATTTGGACTGATTGGATATTTTAAAGAAGGTTTTCAAATGACTTTCCCCTTCCTTAAAGCAGTTTAATTTAAAGTTTTTACTGATGGACAGTTGAGGGGATTATTAAAGTAGAGGATTAGAGATGGAGTTGTCATAATCTGAGATTTTAACTTAAATCTGGATGGACATTGACTTTCATTAAAGACTTTGAATAAAAGTAAATGTTTCAACTAAGAGCTCAGAACTGTGACTTTTTAGGAAAAAGTCACAATATTCGAAATTAAGTCCAAAAAAGTAGTTGTGGTTTTAAAGTAGGTTTTGACCTTACATGCACAGTGTACTTTTTTGCTCTAAATCTTTAATATTTAAAAATTCCCACTTAAAGGATTCAACATCAAAGAAACAAACCTTATAACTGCTAAAAATTGTTTAAAAAAAAGTTAAAAGCACCTCAGACCAGGTCTTGAGAGTTTTCAGTTTTCAAATTTTTTTTTATATTTTTTTTTTAACCAACAGTTATCATCATCATCTTTTTCGTTGTAATCTCAGGCATTGATTGTCGACTTCAGTGTTGCTGTAGAGACTTAAAAACACTGTTGTCTTGTAAGTAAATGATCTGTAAACATAGTTGTAATCAACTTCAACTATGCCACCAACAGCAGCATTTACACGAGAAGACGTAACGTTCTTCTTATTTTCTCCTTAAGGTGGATTTAATTCCTGTAAAAGTGTAAAAAAAAAAAAGCACTTTTACATTGACTTTCTGGGTCATATAAGCAGCAGTTCAATTAGTTAAAGCAGGATCATTTTTTAATGGTGCAGTCAGGTTGTTGGTGTGATGCGTTGTAACATCCACTCTAACACAGGCCGCTCCTCTCTGCTCCTTTTCTGTAAATAGACTTTTTTTTTTTCTCCCCGAGCTGCCGTGAAATAATAACCACAACAACAGGAACAATTTGGTGAGGGAGAGAACAGTTGTTCTTGTCAGAGTCGTGCACCAGGCTGAGGAATTAGCGCTGGCAGCAAGGTGCAAATAACAAATAAAATATCCCGCTCCTCTTAAACTAATTCATTTGCAGGGATAAGTCCTGGTCGGGCCGCGCTGTGCAGAAATTGGCTGATGATAAAAGTCGGCCCAGAAATCCTGCAGCACAAACATTTCTCATCTGCATCTCCTGCATTATTTGTTCAGCAGCAAACAAAGGTGTAGCATTTGTATGTATGTTGCGCTGCTGCGGGCGTCGTTCACCTCTGAGTATGTAAAGATTGAAATGAGCTGTAACTCATCAGGGCTTTAGTCTGTTTTTGTTTTCTCTCTCTTTGTGATCAAATCCATCCTCTTCCTTGTCAGCTGAGATTCAATTAGTAGAGCCCTGGGCTGCCTCACTGTAGAGGAGGTTGTTTTTATTTTATCTTATTTTATTTTATTTTTGAACCCACTGGAGGCCACTGGAATGTAAATACCACAGTTATGTCTGCATTGGAATGTTTTATGTGCAGCTCATTTTATCTGAAAATTAGCCTGGTGAACATATACATGTTCAGCAGAGTCTCAACTGCTTACTGTCTGCTCCAATGGTTTGTATTCAATAAATCTGATCTCTTATGGATTTTGTTGCACATTTTTAATGTAATAAATTAGCAAAAGTCCTTCATTTAACCACTAGGGTCAAATGCTCTGCATGTGATTCTCACAACAGTATTTAGGTGTGGAAGAAAATAGTGTATTTTATAACAAGTAAAAGAAATTAAATCTAAGTTGAACCCCTCCGCCCCCCGCCCAAAAAAATCATGTCGTTGTTGCAGAAGATCTAGGCTGAAAATGTACTTTTTATATTTTTAGAATTTGCGATATTCAAGAGTAGCTAAAAAAAAAATAGCCTTAATGTATCCATGGATTAAACATTGCAAAAAGTTAGCTATATTAATCAAATAGCTAACATAAACTGAATAATAGAACACTGAATATGGAGTTATTAAATAACTTAGGGCTAACGAATATTAGCCTAAATAGTACTAGAAAACAGGTGATAAATGGCTTAGTTAAACACTATTAAAAACAAAAACAGCCAACAGGACAGAAAAAATGTGTCAGAAAAAAATAATCTATTTTTGAAAAACTGCTATCTCAAATTGTATTTGTATCTCTTTCAATTCTTCTTTAAGAGATGTTCGTAGCTTAAGTAAAATTGACCCATAATTAAGAGACGCACTTTTGTTAAAATGAAAGTAAAGATTAAAAATACAGCGTAAGAAAGGTCACAGAACCTAAGATCTGACAGGACCTATTTTTAAAAAATCGAGAAGAAGCGAGAAGACGGCGTCGCTGTGTTTCCAGGACAAATGAAATGAAAGTTTCACAACTACTTTCAACTTTGGTTGATACGTTTAAAATTTTAATATGACGTCAACGGCTGAAGGTTGATACGTTTAAAATTTTAATATGACGACGTCAACGGCTGAAGATGAAATAAATTCAGCTCCTGCCAGGGGAATACCTCTGCAGAACAAGTGAAAAAGGTATGTTGAGGTTAACAAGTAACTTTATGTTGACTAGAATGAAGTAACGTTTTTAAAGCCATTTTACTTTTCTTTTCTTTCTTTAGGTTCGACTTAATAAAAGACATAATTGTCTTCTGTGGTTCCGAACTGAAGAAGGTAAGGATCCGATTTTATTATTTCACAGTCACTTAGTTTGTCTTCATTTTTGTGAAACATGAAGGGCAGATACGAGAGTTTTGTTGTGGGCATTAGCTGCTGTAAGCTAAACTCCATGCTAATTGGAGTCAGTGTTGCCAAAAAGTCGTTGCTGACATTGCATCCTGCTGCAACTAGACATTGTGCACTTTCGGTTATTTAATAGAAGTTACGATTATTGAGAAAAGTAAGTTAGGGTAAAAACGCTAACTTGTTTGACTGATGTTTTTTTATGTCAAAATAACATCAGATTATAACTAATGCTATCGTCGAACTCATCCACAGTGTGGATGTAATAAAGAGCCGGCTATTTTAAGTGAAGGATGGGAGCCGGCTCGCGGACGAACTTGAGGTGGCTTTTTTTTACTTTTTCTTTTCTCTTTGGGAAAAGTACCTGCAGGCGCTGCGGGCGTTGGCTACGCGTGTCACATGCATTCTGTGCAACCAATCATGTTTGGATTGACAAGGATCATACCACCAAGCAGGGAGTAGATCCCAGCCTAATTCGTGTGAATTTTTCCAAGGATCATACCACCAAGCAGGGAGTAGTTCCCAAAATTCGTGTGAATTTTTCAAGCTCACTTAGAATTTATTTCAACGTACTTCCAACCAGGATTGAAAAATGATCTTCCTGGAAAAAACTCCCATCAGGCCATTATGTTTACAAGAACAGAATCAATTTTAATAGGTGTATGTGTGTGTGTGTGTTTCTTTTTCAAAGTCCAAGGTGAAGATAGTAAGGCAGGTCAAGTTTGTCTGGACTGAATATTCAAGAATATGACAATAGCACCATAACAAATAGAACACACACCTCATGCATCTGGTGATATGAATATTCACGTGTATGTATATATATATATATTTATGCTGTGAATATGGTAGTGAATATATGACTATATATGGAATTCTTTATGCTTCTATGCACAAGTGTTGACTATGTTTCTAGTTCACAGAAGAAGCTGCTGTACATCAGTGAGGAAAACAACAGTGGTTCTCAAATGGTCAGGAGTCAGGACGCACGTTTTACCTGAGGTTTTAGTTTTCACTTAATACGAAATATCCCAGTGAGAAATTGAACCAGCGCTTCTATTTGTAGGATTTATGTCGAAAACAACAAAAAAGTAATATATATTGTTTAGTTTTGTCAAATGTTTGGCCATGTTATTTGTCTAATTTTAAAAGCATATATTTATGGTACATATTTATATATTAAATACACATATATTTACATATGTATTATATATGTTTACACATATAATGCATTTTTAATATCCTTTATATTTTATATCTTCTATAATTCTGTATTTGTTTTTTAAGATAAGAAATTAAATTAAAAATTTGATTTCTTTTTCTAAATTGTATTCAGATTTAGGAAATTAGATTTAAAATTTGGTGTTAAGGACTAAAAGTGATATTGGTGAACTATTTTCAATTTTCCAATTTCTGACTTTCAGAAAACAGACTAAGTTCTCTGAAAAAGTTTAAATAAAGGAAAAAGTATGTTTGTTTTAAATCTTGGGTCCAGGGTCGAGCTTTCACTTTTAGTCAAAATACTATATAATAAAAAATAAGAATTATAATTTAGGTTCATTGTTTTGATATAAAAAGTAATTTAGATTTCTTTTTTATAAACATATTTGACCCTACAATTTAATTTCTGCAAAAAATACTTAATATATTCCATAAAACTAAATATTGTCTTTTAAATATCAGTCCGTATTTGTCAGAAGGAAAAATCGTGGGAGTAAACCCCATTTTTCCTAAATTATAAAATACATTTTAAAAAAATTAATAATTTAGAAAAAAAATAGTGTTCTTTTTTTTTTTTTTTTCCTAAAATTAATTTAAGAAATAAACACTTGGTATAGTTCTTACTTTACTTTGTCCCATGACCCAACTGTGGGTCACGACCTACCATTTGAGAGACACTGTAACATAGCATTGGTGAGACTGTACTGCTTGTGGTACCCCTGGCTGCTTGTACATAGTTTCCTACCAACTGAAAATCCTAACAGTCAAACGTCCACAGTGCATAGAGCGTTTAGATCCGTACCTTCAGTGACACTTGAATTCATCATCACCTTGAAATGTGCAGTTCTACAGATGGCTGCACCTTAAATCCAGTGATCAGCAGTCACTGCTCCAAATTCAAACAGCACAGTATTTCTGTTCACAACCATTGTCTGAGGCAGATTATTAAAAGTGGGGGGAGGAGGTCAGTACCTGAGTCCCCCACTGTGTACACAACAGGCCTTCATATTGTTCAGTAGTTTTAATAAGTCGACACACCACGGTCAAAATACCAGATTTTTTTTCAAGATATTTGATGTCCATACTCAGACCTGTGATCTGCACAGATGTTTTCAGTGTAACCCAAATTATATTCAAATCAACTGTGTAGTGTATATAGTAGTTAGTAGTATTCTATAGTAGTATTATAGTGATGTTAGTGCCATCAGTTAGGATCAGGTTTTGTACCAGGATTTTCCTGTTGTTTGGTGAGATGCCTCTAATTTCATCTGGGCTGGACTTTAATTAGACCAAGGTTGATTTTTCTTTTTTCTTTCCATAATTCTAAAATATTGCAAAAACAACAATAGAAATTACTGCTGTCTTACATGCACTGAACAACAAAGACATCAATCTGAACATTTCTTCAAATTTCCATTTGTCTGAGCTCAAAAACTTAATTTACTTAAAACTTAATTTACTCTAAAAAATTGGCGTTGAAGCCAGTTTCTCAGGCATGTTTACGATGAGTGAAAGGCTACAAAGATGACTCTCCTAACTCTCCTCAGTTAGTGTCAGTAAAGGTAAGAAAGTACATTTTCAGAGGATGCTGTCTCTTTTTTTAATATACAAATTGGCATTCTAACAGGGGTGTGTCGACTTTTCATACCCACCATACATGGCTCTACTGAAGCACGCCTCAAAGAAACAACACGTCATGTCGGTGAAAGTTCCATGAAAACAAAAGAAAAGAGTTTTACAGACATTCTTTGGTTGAGTGTGAAAGTAACGTTTCTGTGCTTTAATTCAAATAATTTGAATTTGGTTGATGCAAAATGTCCCAAAAACAAAACAAAGAATAACAAAAAAACAAAACAAAACTCAGTCAAACACTGGCTTGAGTTACAGAGTGACGGGCCTCCACTAAACTACAATATGATTTTAAAATCTCACAAAGGAATATTTAATATTAATAATAACAATAAAAAAAGGTCTAGTGATTAAAAAGGTTTGCTAAAGCTGATTGTACACAAACATGAATCTCTGTCTCCAGGCGGCCTCATTGGCCCCCGGCCCCCGCACCCACCCAACCTCCCTCCTCCCTTTGCACCCACCGCTCCTCACACTTTCTTCTCTCACTTCTTCTTGGCAAAGCGACTGAACATCTTCTCTTTCTCTTTCTTTGCAGAGGTGGGCTCAGGGAGGGCAGCTGAGGAGGAGGAGGAAGTGGTGGTGGTGGAGGAGGAGGGAGGGGGCAGACTGCGGGCTCTGGCTCCTGAGGGCCCTGACTCTGCCTCCTCCGCCTTATGAATGGCTCTATCCATGGCCTGGCTCCAGAGCTGCAGCTCGTTCTGGAGCGAAAACACACAAAAACAGACACCGACCACAGGTTGAAAAATGGAAAGTTGACGTCAAAAGGTTTTATTTTTACCTATTGGTTCCATATGAAAGTAATTAATGATCTGTTATTGTTGTTTTACTCTAGTAAGACGTCCAAAAATGGTCAAAAATGTCTTATGCTGTATCGTAAGGTGTCCAAAACCATAGTTTTCAAAAATGTCTTAGTAAAGTAGTGTCGAAATGAGTCAAATATTTCAAAGCTTGTGCTTATTAATACTAAAACACTTCGTCTGAACACAATAAAAACTCACCTCGTCTTTACACTTGAACAAATATTCTCTGCCATCTTCAAGACTGTGGAGCAGAAAAAACACGGAAACCTCAGATTTACTGTGTTTGTGTCCTGAATCACTACAGAACTATCTATTAACTTTTTTTAAAATCAAAATCATCAATCACAGTAGCTTCAACCCTTAATTCACACTTTCCTTAGTGTATTTTTTATACTTTTATACTATTTTTTTTTTAGTTAGGTAAGCTAGTAAAGATACCATCACCTTTGCTAGCTTTAACCTCCAATTAGGCTAACTTTTAGTCATGTTGAAAATAAAAATAATAAAACTAAGATAAGGTAGTTATCCATAAGTTTAAATTAAACATATGTACATATATATAATGCTGTATGTTTTAGGTACATTTGAGCTACTATTTTAGCTAACTTTTGCCATCTATATGAAGATATTTTTATGTTTGCCATTAAATGGCCAGTGTTTTTACCTGTGTTTTCTAAATATCTTTGACTAACCATGAACTGTTTCTGCAGTTTTTCCACTGCACCTTAAAGTGACTATTTTTGACTATGGTTAGACGTTTTCTTTAATAACACTTTGTTTTTTATCCAACTTTTTCAACCCTCTGTTTAACACTAATTCAAACTTCACTCACCGTAGTTTGGCAACATTCCTCTTCTTCTTATAGTTGCTGAGACATTCCCAGTTAGCGTTAGTGAGGGACAGCGGTGTCTCCCCCTGGTATGTGGAACCATGACCAAAGCTCTTGGCGTCCTTATAGGCTGAGAGCTGACCAGGCGTCAGCACACAGTACAGGTTGTTCCAGGACCTGAGGATAAACACAGTATGCTAACTAACCTTTACCTTTTTGGCAGTGAAACTTTAAATTGTATGTTGAATGACTTGGCTAACTTTTAGCCATCTTTTGGTCATTAGATGATTTTTGCTAATGTTACTTCAACCTAATTTTATCACTTTATTTTTCCTTTTTTCGTTAGCTTTAGTTTTAGTACTTTACCTACTGTTTACCCATGTTTAGTTATTTTGCGCTAAATTTACGTTCATGTATTACTTCAGTCACTGTACTTGGTGAATTTATATTTAAAATAACATGTTTAGATCAGCATTTAGATATTTCCTGTTCAATAATTTCCATATACCTCAGATTGTATTTAATTAGCTTTTTTGTCTAATATTTAGCTGGTATATTTTGGCAAACGTTTAGCTGCATTATGGCTATCATTTTGCTATTTATGATATTTATTTCACTTTCTGTGTCTTTTGGAGTGTTTCTGACCAGCGCCTGTGTCCTGTGCTTGAGGTCGGTGTACCTGTTGGAGGCTCTTTTCCCTGAGCCGTCTACGTCCAGTTTACGTTCCAGCATGCCCCCCTGCTGTACGCTCTGATCTCTGAGCGGCTCCACAGGCATGGTGGCAGCCTTCTCTGGCTCCTTGGGCATCGCCACAGAGACTGATGGCTCCAGCTCTAGAGAGCCGCTCTCTCTCATCTCTGACTCAATGGGAACGGCAGAGTCAGCAGCAGTCGTGTCCAGAGGACGTGAACTGGGTTCACCTGCACCAGACTGAAGACAGAATAAAAGCAGAGAAAATGACCGAAAACCCAACCTGAATGTTTACAGACGACAAACAGAGCAGACTGTGACCTTGACTAATGCAGCAATTGTCATTTATTATTTAAGAATAATTCCAAAAATGTTCTCTAGAGGTAAATATAGTTAATTTCTGAGTACAAAAAAAAATCAAGGTGCTCTAATAAAGTAAATCAAACTCAGGCTTAGAAATTGATGATTGTTTGTCAACCAATCACAGTGCAGTTTACATTTACTCAGCAGACACTTCACTACATTCACTTCAGTCATTTTTGGTTAACATTTTACATTATTTTTGTTGAATCATTGGGGTCATTTTGACTAAGTTTGTCTTTGGAAACTTTCTTTTTTTAACTGTTAATGTTAGGTATTTCCTAGGCTAATTTTAGCTCTATTAGGATGGCTAACCATTGGAACATCAACAAGTTCTTGCCACTTTAATTGGTTGATGTCGTTTAATCATGATGTTTCAAGTGTTTTTAGTCACAAAACACAAGCTATAGTTTTGGCACACAACAATACATTAAGGAACTCCTAAGTATTTTAGCACAGAGTTGCTGCTATGCCACTGGCTTGTTAGGTCATCGTCATCAGATTAACACATATATAAATGTAAACTGAAACTAATATTATGTGTATATCTGTGACTTACAGACATAAATATGTTGTTTGTTTTAACTTTGTTTTGTTTGTTGTTTGACAGACATAAATATGTTGTTTGTTTTAAGATCACAATTTCCATGTTTAACAGCAAATTTGAATTTTTACAGTTGCTGCTGACTCATCACATTCCCAGTAATGAGACTGAAGGACAAATCAAACACAACACTACCTCAGGCCTCGGTTGTTGGCAGAGATGCGGCTGATTTACAGCGCGTTTAAACAGAGGTCAGAACATTTTCAGTTTCATCCAGAAGCAGCGTAGAGTGCAGTTACCAGAGTTTGTTCCTCTACGGTGCACAGCTGAGACGACTCCTCTGCGAAACCTGTGTCTTCTCTCCTGCAGGACAGACAACAGGACAGAAAAAAACTCTTAGAATTAAACTAAGTTTTTTCCCAACTTGTTACATTAATTTAAATAAAATTCCAAAAAAATGAAAAATTCAAAAAAAAATTCAAAACACTCTTATTTGATGAGAAACGTGCAGAGAAGATGAAATTTTGGAATTTCTTTTTCCAAAAAAATGTATCAAAATTTTTTACCATCTGTTGAAACGACAAACCAAATTAACAATTTACTGAAAAATTCCAAATAAATATTTTCTACAATTTTTTTTTCAAAACACTTATTTAATAAGAAACATGCAGGAAAATATGAAAAAAAAAATTTTCAAAAAGTTCCATGTAAATGTTCACCCTGTGACCACGTGACACAAAACTTGAATAAAAAAAAATTATTAAAAAAAAATTATAATTTTTTTTAAAACGCTGTTATTTGAAGAGAAGATAAGATTTTGGAATTTTATTTTCCAAAACTTTTTTTATACTTTTTTTGCTATTGCTGACATGACACACCAAACTAAGAATTTACCGAAAAATTCCCAAAAAAAAATTTTCTAAAAAAAAATTTTTTCAAAATGCTCTTATTTAATGAGAAACATGCAGAAAAACTAAAATTTTGAAAAAAAAATTTTCATGAACATTTTTCACCCTGTGACCAGGTGACAGCCAAAATTGGGATTTTACCGAAAAATTCCAAATTTATCATTAAATAATAAATGCTCTTATTTAATAAGAAACATGCAGAAAAACTAAAATTTTGAAAAAAAAAATTTCTAAAATTTTCATGACAATTTTTCACCGCGTGACTACGTTACACCCAAAATTTGGATTTGACCGAAAAATTCCCAAA